GGGAGTTTTTTGTCAACTGAAATTTCTTGGAAAGATATTTTTCCACTGTTTCATGAGCAGAACAATCCGAAAACACATTAAATAACAGTACAGCCCATTAGCCTCGCTTTCATTCTCATTAAAAATCAAAGATGGCGATGCCGTGAATAAGGCGTATTCTGTCATCATTTACTCACCCTCAGGTTGTTTCAAACCTGTATGAATTTCTGTCTTCTGCTAAACACAAAGGAAGATATTTTGAAGAATGTCAGTTACCAAACAGTTGATGGACCCCATTGACTTCCATAGTATTATTATTTTTTTTTTCCTTCTATGGAAGTCAATTGGTCCAGTTACTGACTGTCCTCAAAATATCTTCCTTTGTGTTCAGCAGAAAAAAAGAAATTCAAACAGGTTTGAAACAACTCGAGGTTGAGTAAGTGATGACAGAATAGTCATTTTGAAGTGAATGATGTCCAACCTGTTTTTTGTCTTCTAAATTTTTAGCAAAAGGTATGCATCACACTGTACATTTCCCTAAAGAGAAATGTCTTTTTGTGTTCCTCACTCAAGCATTACTTGGTGGAAAGGAATTCAGCCATTTCTCTGCAGTTTGCTGGCTCTTTGGTCGCTATCTCTATGAGACACGGAAATATCCCATCGGACTAGTAGAGACATGTTGGGGAGGCACACCTGTGGAAGCCTGGTCAACACCAAGGTCGCTTCACAAGTGTGGATTGAAGAGCTCAATGACCAGGTAGAATACTAAAACACCCTTTTTCTGAAAGGAAAAGCTTCGATAGTTTGGTATAAGTAGGATTTTTTTAATGGGAAAGAAGTTTTTTCCCGCAATGATGCATTAAATTTATCAAATGTGACAGTAAAGATTTATAATGTTGATAATAATGTCACACAAAAAAATATTTCAAGTAGAACTTTCTATTCTATGTTATAATATGATATTTTAATAAAACTTGCAGAAAAAACCAGTAGCACCTTAATGCAGTACACAAGATCCAGGGGGCGGAGTCAGATCCAGATCTGAGGGGTGGAGTTGGGTAGGTTTAGGGGTGGGTTTAGGGATCAGGGGGTGGAGCTGGATAGGTTTAGGTATATGTAAGGTGGGAGGAGTTAGATCTGGAACTGACTCCTCCCCATGGATTTCATGTTCTGCAGTGAGGACCATCTCGAAAAAACAGGAAATGGAATAAAAAACCATCATGACTGTGTGTCTAGGTCAGAGAGTACATAAAAATATCCGAATATTTTACCGGTGTTTGACAAGGTGGGTTTAGTTCAGGTTTAAACTCCCCCCAAAAAAACATGAATAACTATCATATCAAATTTTAAATTAACTTTTCTTGTACATGAAACCAACAAGCACATTTTTTTAAAGGATTGTTCTTTTCTTTAACATGAACACTCTTGTATAGTACGTTATTGACCTGCATAAGTAAATGTGGTTGGTTGAATGAATAGTTTGTAAAATACAGTACATTATTGCTTCTCATTTAACATTCTCAACCTGAATTCACTACAGTGTTCCTTATAGCCCTCCGCAAAGTGTGCAAAGCTACTTCATGGGGAACATCTCTGCTAAATGGACAAGTTCAGTGTTGTGGAATGCCATGATCCATCCATTACTCAACATGACCATAACAGGAGCCATATGGTACCAAGGTAGTACTTCTCACTCAGGTGAAGAATTATAGCCCTTTATAACATGTGCAAAGACTTGCTATTTTTACCTTTGCTCCTTGTCTCAGGTGAGGCTAATGCAAATTACAACAGGGATAAATACAACTGCACTTTCCCTGCCATGATTGACGACTGGAGGATGGCTTTCCATGAAGGCTCAGGTGGCCAAACTGCACCAGACTTCCCATTTGGATTCGTACAGGTACTCTTAAATTGAGAGGCTGCCCACTGCAGAGCCAATGGGAGGAGCTTGACATCCAGCTCCCCCTCGATGGATCTAATGGGTGGAGCTAGAAAGTCCAACAGACTAAACTTACTTAAAGGATTAGTTCACTTTTCAAAAAACTTTTGCTGATAATTTACTCACCCCCATGTCATCCAAGATGTCCATGTCTTTCTTTCTTCAGTCGAAAAGAAATTTAAGGTTTTTAATGAAAACGTTCCAGGATTTTTCGCCATATAATGGACTTCAATGGGAACCAGATGGTTCAAGTTCCAAAAGACGCTTTCAGTGCAAACTGCAAACTTGTTCAAAGGGCTTTAAACGATTCCAGACGATAAATACGGGTCTTATCAAGCGAAACGATCGCTCATTTTTTTTTTTTATAACAAAGTTTAAGTTTTATAAGATCAAACGCTCACCTTGCTCTGTTCTGTGGTGCACATTCGTGACTCTCCTGGTCGAACTCGTTCAACAAAATGAACAAATCTTTTTCCGAATCAATTTGTTCGTTTCTTTTGCCGAATGAACCAAATGACTCGGAAAAAGGTTTGTTCATTTTGATGAACGAGTTCGAACAGGAGTGCGTTATAGAACAGAGCAAGGCGAGCGTTTGAGCTTATAAAACTTAAACTTTGTTATTTATTTATTAAATGAGCGATCGTTTCGCTTGATAAGACCCTTATTCATCGTCTGGAATCGTTTAAAGCCCTTTGAACAAGTTTGCAGTTTGTACTTAAAGTTTCTTTTGGAACTTGAACCGTTTGGTTCCCATTGAAATGTTTTCATCAAAAACCTTAATTTCTTTTCGACTGAAGAAAGAAAGACGTGGACATCTTGGATGACATGGGGGTGAGTAAATTATCAGCAAAAGTTTTTTCAAAAGTGAACTACTCCTTTAACGCCACCTACTACATCAAGAGAGTAGGATCTCTGTGTCATTTGGCTCTGCAGTGAGCACCATTTTCTTAAATAGTCAGTAATGGAAGGAAATTTCTCATCAATACTTATTACATGAATTTAAATTGAACTTCCAATTCATTTCTAGCTATGCACTTATCGCAAAACGATCAGCTTGATGGGTTCAGAGAAATACGCTGGCATCAGACAGCAGACTATGGCTTTGCCCCGAATGAGCGCATGCAGAACACCTTTATGGCTGTTTCTATCGACGCACCTGATGAAAAGTCTCCCTGGGGAAGGTGATGAAGAGCAGAAACTGGTAGTTAAAGTGTAATTCCAATTGTTTAATGGAAGTGCTGAACTCTAACATGCCTGTTTTTTGGGGGTTCAATAGCATCCACCCAGAGGATAAACAGGACGTGGCGTACAGACTTGTGCTCGGGGCGAGAGCTGTCGCCTATGGGGAGAAGAACGTGTCTTTCCAAGGACCTTTCCCTACTCAGGCCATGCTCTACAAGTCTTTCATTAGCATCGTGTTTAATCAGGCTATTAATGCCATTCATGATGATGATGATGATGATTTTTTTGAGGTAAGATCTTCAGAAAAAAATCAATTAGAAAACTGTGATTTGAAAAGATATGAATTCAAACAAGGGCTGATTTTAAAAGGTTGGGTTGGCAATGTTTTTATTTTGTTATACTGGTTGAAACCCTCTTCACATCCTGATCGCAATCATTAACAGAAGTGGTCTAAATATTAAAACAAATACATAGTACTGTATATCTTCTGTGGACGTCTCGTTTCATTCAGTCACTGTATTCGGTCTGAATGCAATTATAGGCTGTCCTACCTGCCTGTCAACCTAAGTATTTGCATACCTCAGCGCTATTGCTATTGTTAGCCTCTCCAAAATTGCCTACCCTTCTTTTAGATCAGAATGTTGAACTTACCTTGACTGTGTATGCTTTTTTTTCTACTGTAGATCTGCTGCTCTGAGGATAAAATGTGTGGATCAAACAACAATTGGTTGCCTGTACCCATAATAAAACATGGCTTAAATTATGTCTTTGTATCTAAACCACCGTGTACAGCTGCTTCAATTACTGCGGTGCGTTATCTCTGGACCGACTGGCCCTGTCAATTTAAAGCCTGCCCCATTTACAGCTCTTGTGGACTCTTACCTGCACCACCATTCATCCTGGACATAACAGAACCAGTATACTGAACCATCATGTTTTAAAAATGTCTCTTCATATCATGTAGCAGTGACTAAAATATATATGAGTAAAATGAATGAGAGAGAGAGATTTGGATGGCATGCACTTTGTCTACAAATCGTTTTGAGTGACTGAATGTCTGTAATTTGAACTTAACTGGAGAGCCATTTTACACAATTCAGTCAGTTTGCACTTTGGATGTGTCCTTTTTTAAAAGGTCACACTTTTTGTGTGGTATAATATTAAATACCATTGTGTCTAATGTTTATTGTTTATGTTTTATAAATTGTTTGATGTTTATTTTTGTCCTCTAACAATTAAAGTTTGTTCAGTGGAGAATTCATTATGATATTTTTATATATATTGATTAATTAAATAAATCAATGTAAAGTGTAGCGTTATCCAGCACTAATCAGAGAGTATGATTTGCCTTTCACTGAGATCATTATTTCAATGGTTCACTTTAGACATTTTACTAACTATTGCAACTACATGTCAACTAACTCTCATTAAAGTATTAGTAGACTGTAGAAGACTGGGTTAGGGTTAAGTGTTAGGATTTGTTGAGTTGTTGTAGTTACAAATCAATAGTCTGTAGAGAAATAATGTCTTTAATGCAGATTAACATCTATTAAACTCTCTAACAAAAAAAAAAGAATACTTTACAACCAAACGTCGATGATAACCAACAGTAGACAGATAACTGTCCACTTTGCTTACGAAACTCAATAAATTGGCCTATAAATGATTTCTAGTAGATGAATGCATCCTACCAATATTTATGACTATCCTTATATGTTATGTTACTTAACTATTCAAATAACAGCCTAAAACGTCTTTAGAGAATATAACATTTCTCTGATATTCAAACATGTTCTTTATGAGCCAGAGTGTACCACCTTTTAGAGAATCTAGATTCTCAAATCGGTTACTTGCTTGCGCCTCGAGTTGTTTCATTGATCGTAACTGCTCATGCGCAGGGAGGCGTGCACGCGCCAGTCTATAGCACGCGCATGTATGTAAACTAGCGGCCTGTTTCAGTTGGTGGTGACCGACGTATGTCTTTTCCTGTCACGAAAACCCAGATTTTACATACTGTAAACATAAACAGGTAATTCATTTTATCATATAAATTGCAAAAGGAATTTGGTGACTATCACATAGCTTCTTCGTCGGCTGTTAGCTAACGCTAGATGTGAAATATAGCAGCTAGCACGTTAGCGTTAGCGGGTACGTCCGCCAGCTTTTTGCAAACTTATACATAATTACACGTGAGCTGTGAATCTTAACTTTGCACTGGAGCTGAATAATCGACAGTCCTTGGTGTGTGTTCATAAATACAGTATGAATCACTGACAGAATTAGCATGCAATTATGTGTTGTTAGCCTGTGAGGCTTCAGCCACTTGGCTATCAACCCTTCAATGATTTGTTTGTTAGTTTTTTTGAGTAACCTTAGTTTAAAATGTGTTATTTTAATGTGAAGACCAAGCGTTTCAAACATTGTTAATTATATAGTTTTGATGTTATTCGTTAGCGAACTCAACTATTTTTACTCAAAAGAAGGCCGTGTCAAACTTTATTGGTCAGGTTTGTTAATCTGTAACCTAACACCCTTGCCTTTAAGTGTTCAGTAATGACGGTTTACTAGTTTTCTTAATATTTTTTGTGACCATTGTATTGTTGATTGACATGCGGCGTATTTTCCTACTATTAACTACAGTTACTGCAGTTCATGACGTGCTGTGGTGAAATCCATACAATATAATAACAAATTTCCTATGCAGAGAAAGTGTTAAAGATTGTAAGTGTTAATGCTGCTCAGAGGTGCCATTAATGCATTTACACACATATTTTGTCTGTATATTGTTATACAAGGTGCCGAGATGGGCTATAGCAGGGTTTCTTTACTCAGAACTGAGCAGCCTACTCAAAATTATGTGTGAAGATGCAATGCAGCTTAAAAGGCAGACTAAATTATGCCTGCTCTGACCCACCTAAGCTCCTTGTTTAACAAAATGCAGTTAAAATTGCTGTGTAAATGCATTTATGCCACCTCTGAGCAGCATTAAACTAATTGCCACTTCAGAAAAGCTTCTGTGCCACCTTTTATGGTGAAATATATATTTCTCCTAGTGTAAAGATCCAGAAAGGCACTGTATGTGGCAACTGTTGTGTGTGTTGGATGGGTTGGTTGATTTGTATCATCGGTGTCCCCTAATAGCAGCCCTGCCCCGACGAGGCCCAACCCCAAGCGGTGCCGTCATGTGGCAGGAGGCCCGCAAACATGAGCGGAAACTGCGCGGGATGATGGTGGACTACAAGCGCCGTGGGGAGAGACGCAGAGAGTACTATGAGAAAATCGTAAGTCAAAAGACAAAAGTCTGTGACCTTGACATCACTTTCATCATGCTTTGTTTTCTGAGCACAGCTTAATCCTGGCTTTTGAATGAAGAAACACATTTCTCTTGTTCTGTGTAGAAAAAGGATCCAGCCCAGTTCCTGCAGGTTCATGGTCGAGCGTACAAAATCCACCTGGATTCAGCTGTAGCCCTGGCAGCTGAGAGTCCCATCAACATGTATGTCGCTAACATACAGATCAGTCTGCATAAATGTTCATAGTTCACACACCAACATAAAATCAGCCCGTTTTCTTGGAAAACTGTCACAACTTCATCTTATGTTCTTACAGGATGCCTTGGCAAGGAGATACCAACAACATGATTGATAGATTTGATGTCAGGGCACACCTGGACTACATCCCCACCTATACACCTGTACCTCTCCTGAACTCTACGTGAGTACTCTGATCTTATTGCATCACATGTTGGAAACTAAAATAAATTACCTTGAGGATTCTAGGAACTATACAATATATAGCATACTAAATAAAGTATACAAATACATGGGCACAGTGTATAATTATTGATTTTCCAATTTAACTTGAAAAATCACACTTGTGATCCTCGGCAGTCAAAACAGACCAAAGATAATGGGGATTCTGTTTCAGTATTATTTAGTCCTTAATATTTAGGATTTTCAGGGGGTTTTATGGAACTAATAATAATAATAATAATAATAAAATAAAAAATAATAAAAATTATTATTATTATTTATGGTACTAGACAGTATTCACCTTTTATTTCATAATTATTTACTTCTTTGAAGGACATATTTAATGAGATTATGCCTGAAAAGATTCTGGATTTTTTATCATATGTTAATTTAAAAAAATATATTGTATAATATGACTTCTTGTTTATATTTGTTTTGATTTTGTTGTATTTATATGATGTTTGTGTTTTTGTAAATGAATTTTTGCCATGAAAATATCTGCTGACATGGCATGAAATAAAATAATCTGAATCATAATTATTTAAATTCATAAAATGACTATTCATTATTTTAATCATAGCTTATAAGATTATGTACAGACATAACTACTTTTATTTTGTGTTTGGATATTAGACTTTGTCAAGTACTGCTTTTTGTAGACACCCCCCTTTCTCTTCATTTTTATATTTCCCATTAATTTCCTACTGTTATCATTTTGGATGATGAAGATCACAAGTATGACTTTAAGACCATTTAAACTTCTAATCATGTTCACATCAATTGTAAATATAACTGGTCTAAAATGACTAGACCATCAGATAGTTAAAGATGTTTTGATAAAATTATGGAGAACTGGTTGCTACTTTATGTAATTGTTGATGTTTTTTCACAGCACCCCAGAGCAGGAATCGGAAGAGAGGAAGTGCAATTATGAACGCTACAGAGGTCTGGTGCAGAATGACTTTGCGTCCAGTGAGTCCCCTTTAATTTCGGCATGCTTCAATCGTGTAATGTGACTAGATGCCATTTATAAACTTGTTCAAAAATGTTTTTGTCATTTTGTAGTCTCTGAGGAGCAGTGCTTGTACCAGATCTATGTGGATGAACTCTACGGTGGCCTACAGAAACCAAATGAGGATGAAAAGAAAAAGTATGATCAGTAGTTACCAAACGTATGCCTGAAAATACATTCAGTTAGAATGATCACATCTTATGTTTTTCTCTAGACTTTCTGAGAAGAAAGCTCAGATCGGTTATACATATGAGGACAGCACGGTGACTGAACCAGATGAAGAGGCGGAGAAAGGAAACGAGGAGGACTCGGAAAACAGCGATTCTGAGGAAGACGAAGTCATCCCTGACATTGGTGTGTCCTTCATATACAATAAACACTTCCTGTTGGGACAATGCTTTTTTTATAATATATTAACACTCTAGATATGTGATTTACTTAAATAGAATGTGTGTGAATGCTTTCTCATGTTGTAGACGTTGAGGTGGATGTAGATGAACTGACCCCAGAGCAGGTGACGGAGATTAACAAGATGGGCACCACTTACGGCATGGCAGAGGGGGACTTTGTTTGGTTCGTTCATGCATTCTTCAGCTAAACTATTGTAATCCAAATCATTGATTAGGGTGCTTTCACACTTGCATTTTTGGTGCACACCTGGGTTGAGGAGTTCAGTTGATCGGTGTGATGAATGGATGCCCACAAACCGTACCCTAGTCCGCATAAAAGGGTGGTCTGGGCTATGGTTCGCAGCTGATATGAACTCAAGTATCATCGTGGAGATGACGTAGGGGTAAACCGCTGCTTTTTTAGGCCATGTGTCCACCAAAGCTTTTTTTATCCAGCTGAAAACGCCGTGCTTTGGGCGCTTGAGAGCGTTCTGGCAGCGCAGCGTATTTTTTTTGTTGAAACGTTTCTTTGCTATGATACAGAATATCCGCAGCACAGTTTACTTGTAACTGATTTCGCAGATAATTTGTTTCATACAAAAAATTTATTTCTCATCCATGTTGTTCGGTTGGCTCTGCTGGTTGCATATTTTTCAACTCTCGCGACCAGTAAAAAACGCCGGGCACTCGGCGCTTCAGTGTGAAAAATACGCCTCGTTACGCTCGTGGCGTTTAAAAAACGTGGCGCTCCCATTGAAAACGTACGCCGGGTGCATGGAAAAGCACTTTGGCGGCCTTAGGGTGTGTTCACACTGCATGTTTGGTTTGATTAAAACAAACCCTGGTGTGATTGCTCAGTTAGTGCGGCTCATTTGAATAAGTGTGTGAACGCTGCCATCCGAACCCACCAAACAAGCGATCCGAGACACTGAAAAGATGAGCACTGGTCCGCTTCCAAACAAACTCTAGTACTGTTTTAATGAAATCTGAACGCAACACTATACACAATATAATTGTAGCGTATTTTATTTGATATATGCCTAATGACAACTGGCCAGGGACTACAGCTGGAAATTAGCCGTAGAGGCTAAAGCTGCTCTTTTTATCAAAAGGCACTGTCCACGTCATTATAAACTCAACTAAACACCGACCAAAGACATGTAAGCTAATCAAAAAAACGGGACATGTCACAAAATGCGACCCTAAAAAGGACAGAAGGATATCTGTTTTTTTCTCGTGACCATCATATGTTGCCCATCACAGTTCAGTATAGGCATCAGAACCGCGTCTCCTCGCGGCAGATCTTCGTTTGTGTGTGTGACGAAGGGATTTCTGATGCTGTTTTGATGCCTTTACACGTTTTAAAAGTTTTTTACGAGTTCTCAGGTGGTCAAAATACCATCATATATAGCCTACGCACATACAACGAGCGCATTTAGCCCAGAACACAGCATTGTTTTGGATGTTCGGTATGTTCCGTCGCGAAATATATGTAATAAAAGCTGATGTTAAAATGCCAATGTGACTGCTAAGTTGACCAGGACTGAATGTTTTGGGGGTTTATTTGTCCGGGCCAAATTATGCAAGTGTACTGCAGCCCAGACCCAAATAATATGATATGAACAGTCCAGTAGGGGGAGCCATCGAACACAAGGTCGAACCAGGCAATCGAACCTAGTGTGAAAGCACCCGCAATTAACACACTGTATTTTTCTTCTTAAAAAAAAAAAGGTGAAATGTAGTTAAAATCTGATGTGTCTTTGTGGCAGGATGTTGAGGAAGGACAAGGAGGAAGTGGAGGCCATTAAGCATGCTAAAGCACTGGAAGCAGAGAAGGCCATGTACTCTGTATGGGCAGAAGCTTTTCAACTGTTCTTCTCTCCCATTAAGTCGTTTGTGTTTTATATTCGTATTGGTAATCCTGTATCATTGCTTTGCTTCCATCAGGGCCGGCGGTCTCGCAGACAGCGAAGAGAGTTTAGAGAGAAATATATGAAAGGCCGGCAGATCAGCCCACCAAGGTAACAGCACAACAAATATGAGCTACACGTTTTTAGATGGGTGACAAAGTTTGAATGTTTTTACTCATAAATAATAATCCCAGACTTAGTAGTGTCTTTTTCTGGTTCCATAACCACCACTCAATTTTACTAACCTTTTAAACATTTACATTTATATATATATATATATATATATATATATATATATATATATATATATATATATGAAGAGTTCAGATGCAAAAGCCTCTAAATGCCATTTGAAATTTTCTTCTTTAATGATGATTTTTATCAAACTTGTATATTTAAGTTCAGTAATTTCACTTAAATAACAATATACAAGTTTGATAAAAATCATCATTAAAGAAGAAAATTTCAAATGGCATTTAGAGGCTTTTGCATCTGAACTCTTCATATATACAATATATATACACTTTTTAGGACATTTTTCCTAAAAAGACAACAAAAAAGGTTATGTGCACTGAAGTGTTTTGATTGTACATTGATTAACTGAAATGAATGAATTTCAAAAACAGCTATGCCAGAAGAGACAGTCCCACATACGACCCCTACAAACGGTAAGTGTTTTTAATAGTTTGATATCTTGCCCATTAGTTTTGAATGATGTTCAAATTATGTACAAATTCACACAAAAACCATTACAATTCAGGTTGCATCTATATTCTGGCCTATACTGATAAACTTAACTTATTTTCATGGTTTAGCTGATAACCAATTTTAAATGCAAGTGAATATAGGTGTTATAATGTACATTATGATAAATTGATATTTTACAGTGACATTAAGTTATTAGTGTTTTTAAAGATTAATGTTGCAAAGGTAATGCCAAAACAGGGTAAATGAAAATGCTCAATGCAATATGAGCAATAACGATAAAAAAAATAAAAAAAAAACTCCTAATTTATGAGACAGATATATTGTGCATTACTGATTACAATTACATACCTTTCAAATAAATTCCTCCTTTTATTCACAATTTGACCAGAAGTGACAATGATGAAGTTTATAAAATCACAAAAGTAAAAATAAATGTTGTTCTTTTAACCTTCAAATTGTCTTTGTTTCCTGTTTATACATTTCTGGGCTTCGGGGTCTATACGGCCTAGGGATGGGACGATAACCGGTTTCACGATAAACCATGATAAAATGTACTGACGGTTAGTATTATCGTTTAAAATTTAATTATCATTAAAACCGTGTTTGATTATCGTGATTTTAATAACTAACTGAATCCTGTCGGCCAGTCTGGCGCAGGCGCGCAGCACGCAATATTTTTTTAAATTACTATTCGAGAAGGAATGGTGGAAGGCAGTGACCGTGCTCAGGAGATTTTTCAGCCTTTTAAGAGGACCAAATCTGAGGTGTGGTCATTTTGGGTTTTACAAAAAACTATTAAAAATAACTTTTGGAAATAACAATCACAGTCCTGGACAGTGAGTGAGCTTACACATTAAGATAATATCAGATTTTCTCCAGTCATTGTTAAAAAACAAGCTAACAATCTTTGCTAACTAGCGTTAGTGAAGCGGCCAGAGGGATCGTTCTGCCTCCACCTAAGCTCCGCCCACAAAAAAACGTCACCATGTTTACCAACTGTAAAAGGGTCTATAGAATCTTGCTTAAAAACTGCATAGAGAGGCTTGTTTTATTTGTTGTTTGTTGATTTTCAATTATAAAACTTGTTAAAATGTTTTCAGTGTGAGCATCAGTTCTTTTTGAGCACTTTCATAAATTAACAAAACCGTGATAATATTGATAATCACGATTGTTTTGGACACTATAATCGTGATATGAAATTTTCATACCGTCCCATCCCTAATACGGCCCCAACAATTGATTGAGTAATTGTACAAAAAATATACATTTTTAATCATACAAATAATATATCTTTTTGTTTTTTTTTTATTGTTGTTTACTTCTCATCTATTCATTAATGCTGTGTTTTTGGAGATATAAAGTACTTTTGTATTCATATACCACACAGTTCCTCAACTACACCATTAGCTTGCATATAAAATATATAATTTTTTTTATGATGCATTGCATTTATGCTCTAGTACTAGTACAAGGCCTTCATTTCTGTGTACATTTTCAGATTTATACCGATTTTTTTTTTTTTTTTTTTTTTTTTTTTTGACACATGAAGAAAATATTTTTATTTTTATTTTTTTCACATTTCCCATTCATTTCAATGTGGGGTCATATTGACCCCGAAGAGCAGACGTGTAAACGTCTTTTTTTTTTTTTTTTTTTTTTACATGCCTTCAGAACAACCGAATCAAGCCCAGTTTTTTTTGTGTGTGTGTGTGTGTAGATAGATAATGTATGAAAAGTCACAAAATCTTATTCCACTGAGATGAAGGGAACCTTTTTTTTTATTAAGTAAAAGTCAATTGGGGTCACATAGACTTTCTATTCACTACACTTTCTATTCATCCTGAATGAAATATATCCTTGTCTCCACAAAAATATTAAACAGCCCAATTGCACCAAATCATGTAAGAATGATTTTTGAATGGGGTAATGAGCCCAAACCTTTGAACCGTAATGTATATCATATTGCTACTCTGTTTTCTCTCCTTCATGTCCCAGGCCAGAGTCAGACTCAAGTTCAGAGTCCCGCTCTCGTTCCCGAACCCCAGGCAATGATAAGATCACCTTCATCACCAGCTTCGGGGGCAGTGAGGATGAAGGAGCCACAGCTGCACAACCTCCACCTGCAGCGGCGTCAAGCCAAACCTCCTCCAACACTGCAGGTCATAGCAGGGGCTCCCGGTCGGTAACTTCCCCTTTCTACTTTCTGGCTCCTTAGTGGCTTTTTCTCCATTTATTTATAAGCGTGTTCAGCTGTGATAGCATGTAGTCCACTGTGCGAAGAGAAATACCACAGGTTGAGCTTTAAAATGATCGAGATTGGTTAAAAATCATCATTTAATCCTGAGAGCTAGAATCTCTTTGGCTTGTCTTTTGATTTAATCGCTTTCATAGGTTGCTCATGATGACATAGCGCTTTGTGGATATCTTTCAGCCGAAGACGGTCTTCCTCCAGTCACTCATCCTCTTCCTCCCGCTCCTCTTCGCACCGGTCCTCGCGCTCATCCTCACGTTCCCGTCGGAGTCGTCGTTCTCGCGGCGGCGGCAGGGACCGGGACAGCCGTTACTCCAGGTCTCGATCTCGCTCTCGACGGCGGTCTGACTCTCGTTCACGGCAGCGCAGTGGAGGAGTTGGCTCGAGGAGACGATACGACAGGACGAGGTCTCGTTCCACGGATCGAGGTAGAGACAGAAACCGAGAAAGAGACCGGGACAGGGGGAGGCGCTACACGGCCCGCAGACGAACCAGGCAAGGAACTTCCTTGACTTCTATGATTGAAAAAAGGTATAATTTGTCTTTGGTGAATGTGATCGGATGAAACACTCCCTCCCTCAGGTCTCGCTCGCGTTCACGCTCGGGTGATCGTTACCAGCGTCGGAGTCGCAGCTCTGCGTACAGGAGGGGCGGCAGCGTCAGTCAAAGCCCCTCACACTCGCCTGCCATCAGCCACAGCCCCTCCCCCTCCTCCCATTCTGCTACGCCTGCTTCTGCAGACAAGCTGAGAAAGTAAGTCGTGAAAGAACTGTAGATGCGCTTTACAGACTTGAACGTCAGGGATGCGATTTCCATATTTTCTACTCTGAGAAATATGAACCACATGAATTGTGCAAATTGCTACATGTCTGTCTTGTCAAAAAAAAAAAAAAACATAAATTTTACTCGAGAGGTTCAAACTGAGCAAAAATATGCTATTTGGTGCAGTTGTTATATATTTGCGATTCTGATAGCTTGCACTGTAAATAATTTAAATGTTTTAATAGTATAGCAGACTGACATAAAATTAGGGATGGGCATTTTTCAAAAATATTGCATTCGAATATTCGGGCTCATAAAAATCGAATATTCGTTTATTTAAATGACGTTTAACGAAAAAGACGTTATTTTAAGTTTATTTTTTACGTTTTTGTCACCATTTCTGAACAAGCTTACAATTAGGTAATATACACACCAAGCTTACAATATATGTTAAAGTTTTCTTTTATTTGAAAAGATAACTAAACAAAAAATATAAACAAACAAAAGCATTAATAAAAGCATGCTCAAGCAGTGCGAACAATAGCCTAATAAAGCAGATTGCGCCAGATATTGTGCAGAACGTACACCCACAATCAAGTCAGGATATGATTATCGTGTTTATATTGTTTCACGTTTATATTCAGAAAAACATTAATGTCCACATGCAGGGGCGCCGCCAGCACTTTATGCCCGAGTGAGAAACGGCTGCACTGACGGACGTTTCAGAGACACAAAGATAACGGCAGCACTTCGCATTTTCTGTTCTTAAACCGGTCTCCCTAAACGAAACTTAAAGGAAGTATATGTCTCAAAATCATTTATACTTTATATTTTATCAAAATCAGTCGTGATGCAGTGAGGGACAGCTATCTTTCTTCAGTCGACTGTTTGGATTTTATGTGATTTCTCATTGTGGTGATAACTCGGATGAATTAATTAATTTGATCAAAAGTAATTCCATTTAGTAAAATCATTTTCAAGTAATTCCAAACTTCGCGAGGCAGAGGACAACATCATGTGATCAAAAACACAAAACTTCTTAACACACTCCACAGTGCCACCCTGTGCATTTAATTATAACTGCGAATTAGTGCTTGGGATTTATCATGGATTCACTGCATTTACAGCCGTAGTGAAATTCAAATAGTATTTCATTTTTTGAATAATAACTACAGATCGAATATTCGTCCACACCCCTACACAAAATGCATGTAACAATCAGTTGTCACTCTGTATCTCCCGTTAATGTCTAAGTATGATATTTATGATAAATAAAACTAAAGCAAAGTAAATAATTCAATGAAATACAATAATGATTCAGAGATTTACAAATAAACATTCTTTTAAAGCCTAATGGATCGTTTTTGGTACATTTTAACATGAAATTTTTTAAAACATTATGTGCAGATAGTCGAGTAAACCCAAGTTGCTTCAGTCTAGTAAGAGATCATCTAGAAAGACTATTAACAATAAAAGTTATTCCTACAAATACATTATAAAAATGAGAGACCTGAAGGCGGTGTTTTTCGAATTGTACTAAAAGGCCTTTTACTTACTTATTTTTAGAAGGCATGTAGTAGATTGGCTACAGCAGTTTTGGTCATATTAATAATTTAGAGATACAAATTTGATACAGTAGACTTTATTAGTGTCTTAAGCTGATCCACATGCCTGAATAGTGACAACTTACTAAATGTTCTGTCTTATTTTTCTCTCTCGTAGGCCTGAAACTCCGGGTGGTAAAGAGACTGGAGCTGCCAAAGTCAGTAAGAATTTGATATATCTCGATTTGTTTCTAAAGACTCCGCCTCCCTCACCCCTGACAGGCTGATGCAGTTAACAATCAGGCCGGGGCTCCTGCCCATCTCTCGGCTCTTCAGAGAGCCGTTCTCATTTGAAATGTGTGCGTGATTGGCTGTCCACTTGGTAATCAGCTGCCCTCTGTTTGCAGAATGGCAGCCATAGCTGAACTTACCTGACTTTTTTTTTTTTGGTATGCGTGTAAGAAAGAGGCGGGGAGTGACCAGCGTTATCTCGAAAGAACGCGATATTTCTGTGCGCTCCTCTTTGGAACCGATAAATCTGTCTTCTATTTAAGGAAATTATACTTTTATTTAACCAAGTATGATTATCATAATGATGGTTTATTGATAGACACCTGTTCATGAATGGAAAACTTCAAAGGTTCCTAGCAGGTTTGCTCAGAGTTTCCCAGCTCAGGTGTTGCTTCTGCCCTGGGCTTGTCAAGACAGGCAGAGCAACTTCACTCACTCGCACACCTAAACACACCTGCATAAGTCAATACACATTGTCCTTGTATGTAAAGGTTGAACAGCTTTAGGCTCCTTCTGCCATGGCTAAAGTTGCAGTCATTTTGTAACTGTTCCATCGAGTTGGTGTATCCGACCTGGAGAGGAGACGAGTCAACAGTTCTGTACCTTCATTTGTCTGTTCACCTTTCCATATACCTAAAAATACGTCCAGAACATAAACATCACAGGCATTTCTGCGTAACGGGACCAGCTGGTGCTATTCAACATGCAGCATATGAAATGATCTGTATGTAGTTTCTGCATGACACGACACAAGCTTAACCTAGTAGATTAGATGTTGTCTTGTTGTCAGTCGCTGTTCTTTGCCTGAACAAGAACTTTCCCATCCTGCTTGTTCTAAAGTCTCTGTGTCCATTGCAGCCCAAGATGACCCCTCAAGAGAAGCTCAAAATCCGAATGCAGAAGGCCCTAAACAAACAATGTGAGTTACTCATTCAGGCATCCATGAACAATATTTATGCCAAGAATAATATATGGGTTGGCATGTATTTATCACTCAGAATTGGATATTTAAATGTACACTATGTAACTTTTGGCCCCCTAGCAGTTAAACAACAGAACTGCATGTATTTAACGTTGTTTTCTGACTGATCTCATGGAATGGCGTATGTATGACATGCCAATTCATATTTGCATTTTTGGCATGCTATCAACACGCTTTTCAGTGTGTTTATGAACTTAACGTTACATTTCTGTACAAATATAATATACCCCAACCCCGTCCCTAGGGTTAATACTAGGGCTGTCAGTTTAACGCGTTATTAACGGCGTTAACGCAAACCCATTTTAACGGCGTTAATTTTTTTATCACGCGATTAACGGTCGTTTTGTCCTAGCAAACTTTGTCGTTTTTTCACATGCTTTTGCATGCCGCGTCCTGATCCATTTTAGCGTCTCTCGCTCGTCATCCACTCAAAGCCGGCTCACAAGCCGAAACGTGTGTTTGCGGCGTGCCTGTTGTTTTGTTTCCGGTCTAGATCCGCTTGCGCTTTGGTCGAAGAAGCAATAAAACGTCCAAAAAAGGACATTTTGTGCCGCACACAATCGTTTCGGCTTGCGAGCCGGCCAAATAGTAACGTTACGTTTTGAGTGGATGACGCCGAAATGGATGCCCTAAGATTCTGAATGGAAAGTTTACTTTTAAAAAGTTGCCAAATTGTCCCATTGACAAGACCAAGGGATCTGTGTGTTTTGTCGTTGTGAAATGAGCGATCATCATCGCAGCACATCCAGTCTGAAACACCACTTGATGATGGCCAAGCAAACACACATATGATGCGAATTCTCCACCCCCTCGTCAATATCAGGAGCTCGTCAGTATTTCTTTCACCCTTTTATTGATAGACAGTGTTACATTGTGTGAGAGATTATATGTTAGTGTGAAATTGAGCACTATTCCAATGTTATTTTCAATAAAAATAATAATAATAAAAAAACATTTGCACTAAACAAGCCGATCCACTTTTGCATGTTGATGAGCATTAAAATGAGAAAAAATAATGTAACAAAAAGAAATCAAAAGACATTTAGAATAGATAAAAAGGTGCGATTAATCGCGAGTTAAATATGACATGCGATTAATCGCGATTAAATATTTGATCCGTTTGACAGCACTAGTTAATACCATTTATGAGTCTTCCCCTACCATCCTAGGAAAAAAAATATCACTCCCCAGATGTAGATCTACATTTTGCTTCGTTTCGCTCGGACATTTAACGGCGCGGATAGATAACACGCCACTTGACTTGAGTGGCGTGTATGTTTACGCAAAAGTCATGTCAAAAGTTTGACAACCAACTAGTGAGGACATTTTCACTAGTAGTTAAAAAAGCGTATAAATCGGCCAAAACACGTTTTTATTTAAATCTAGCGTTTGCTCGTTTCTATGATGGGTTGGTTTGGGGATGTGGTCGGGTTAGGCCATAATAGAAATATCATTAAACTGATATAAAATCGATGCAATGTCCTTACTAGTGAAACAAACATGTGCGGTGTGTTAAGGTTCATTAATTTGACTAGAGATGAGGCATTAATGTAATAACTTTTTTGTTTGATCTTATCTTTGGACGTTGTCTGTTCCGGGCATATGTTTGCATGCGCATGTAGACGGTGATCATATTTTTAGTCAAATGTGCATGTTACACTACTGTTCGGTTTGGAGTCAGTTTGTCATTTATTGAAATTTTTTTTTCTATTTATTTGATCAAAAATACTATGACGATTACATTTATTTTTAAGCTGAATTTTCAGCATCATTACTCCAGTCTTCGGTGTCTCATGATCCTTCAGAAATTATTCTAATATGATGATTTGCTGCTCAAGAAACATTTCTTATCACACTTAAAAACAGTCATGCTGCTTATTTTTGTGAAAGCCATGATAGTTTTCCTGGAAAATTAATTTAAAATGGAAATCTTTTGTCAATTTAACGCATCCATGCTGAGTAAAAGTATTCAAAATCTTAGTGACCCAAAGGTTTTGAATTGTAGTGTATATACCACATGTGTTATGGGAAAGACATCTGAAATAAAAGCCCTGCCTCACTTTCTGCTTTCACCTTCATCAGCCAAGGCGGATAAGAAAGCAGCGCAAGCCAAGATCCAGCAACAAGAAAACAAGCGTCAGGTAAAAGCATGGGTGTATGTTGGTATGTGTGGGTGGGGAGTTCCAGGTAGTTCTGAGCTTTAACACTCATGCTTTCCCCCCCTCCCATCACAGGAACGAGAAGGAGTTCTGCGCGCAATGGCACGGAAAATACGCATGAAGTGAGTCCCGACATGTATATACATGATCAACGTGTTCATGTTGTGGGAACTGTCCTCTCGGTTTGCAACGGAGAAGATACAGTTTGGTCATTGTTTGGTCTTGTAGGGAGCGGGAGCGGCGGGAAAAAGAAAGGGATGAATGGGAGAGGCAGTATGGACGTCAGAGTCACTCGCCCTCTCCCAACGCTAAACACGGTGAGTTTACATCCCACCAAAGAATCCCATCTTCGTACAGTAAAACGTAACGTTATCATCCACATTATGAAAGAACTGAATCGAGACACAATTATTGTGCTCTAACAAGCAAACTCATGAAGAAGATTCTAATCATAAATCTTGAACAACCCACAGGTCGAGACTACGGCTCATCTAGAAGGTATGCTGAAACCAGTTTGGACCAGCCATACTTGTCCATTTGATCTAAACGTACTTCCGTTCAGGCTCATTTCAACCATTTCTACTGTCTTCCTCAACAGGAGATCACGCTCAAGATCACGGAGTCCGCATTACCGGTACTGAAGAATCGGCTGATAAAACACAAGACATTTTAGGAGTCCAGGATCGCAGGAGTTTACGTGAAAGTTTGGGAAAAATTACCAATAAAATTCATTTCACTCACTTCATCTTCTGAAGGTTGCAATTGAAACAAATAAAATCATTTCTAAAATGTGAAAATGAACCCTACCATACTCTAAAAACACATTTTGCCTCGATGTCTTGATATTTCACAGCAGAGTTCCCAGGAATGCTTAGAGCTGCTATGATTTTAATCAAGCTTTGCTTCTGTGTTGAGTTTGTGACATAAGATTGGGATGGATCTAATCTCTCGTTTGTGTCTCATACCATATTTTAAGATGGAGTTCCCCAAAAAATGCAAATACTGTAATTTACTCACTCACTAAACTAGCATGGCTGACTGAGTTGTTGTGAAACACGTTATTCTGCCTAATTTGTTCGATTAAAAAAAAAAAGAAAGAAAGAAAGTCAGTGGGGGTGAATAAATTACAGACTTGTTGTTTTTTAGGGGGGTAAACATTCTCTAAGCGGTGAATCAACTCATTTACCTCATCGTTGTACATAATCCCTTCATTAAAGAGTGCGGAAAAGCGATTTTATAGAAAATGCAGCTCATTTTTCACTCAGCAATGTAAATGTCTAGTGGTTATTTCTTGAATTGGAAACAATCATCGATGGTCACAGATTTTTGACAGAATTGAAATAAAAAGCTAATCATGATTAAAAAACCGTTGGTTTGGGTGTTTTTTCCCGCTGTTACACGTTGTATCCGCCAGATGGCGCACCTCACTATTAGAACTACTACTACTGATTCTATGCAAATGGCTTTTTTTTAGTGTGAATTTGATCAGTTTACACAAAGACACGTGTAAACAGTGTCCGTTAGCCTGTATTTACCCCCGTAATTCACAACATAGACGCAAACCTCTGAAAGTAAAGCGACAGTTACTTTGGATTTCGAAACGAGCCGGACAGCCAAACAAACACCTGTCTCAGTCGACCTCGATAAAGCCACTTCCTCTTCACCCACATCCTTAACCAGCACATTTTTATTGGTGTCAGAGCAGCAGCTGCGCGCCATCAAAACGACTATTTACATAAGTCCACCAATACGACAGGTAGATAAGGAATAGAATGGGTTTGAATCATTTAAGTGGCTCTAATGTTGTTGCTTAAGCACAGCAGAGTTGTTTAATGAGGTCAGTGATGATAAGACCGAGGAGGAGGATGATGATGGGCGGGTTGAAGAGCTGGAGGCGTTGCTCATGCCCTCCTCCTCCTCCTCCTCCTGTAGGGCCAGCACACAGAGACAGTGTGTGAACTTGAATACTGACGGGCTCAGCAGCAGTCACACATCATTGCTGTTTTATGAGATTTAAAGTGTTCGCTTAGTTTTGGTGTCGTTCTAGAGGAGCTTCTCTCACTATGTCCAGACGCAAACTCGGCAGCAGACCGCAACACCTGAGCGCAATGCAAGGTAAGCTGGATTCAAGACAACTTCATTCACATTTACACGAGAAAACACAACATATGCATGGAGAACCGAATATGGATAATGTGGGAGAGAAGGCATAACCAATAACGTTAGCCAATAACTTTTCACGTGGTTTGTGTCTCACTCAGTGCGTGTCCAGAACTTGACATTGGAGTTGAAATGATAACATGCCCTCATGTTTTTATTTTTATTTTTTATTATTATTATTTTATTTAAATATTGCTGTCAGTATCGAATCAATAGTCGTGTTAAATGTTATATATAGGCTATTTTTTAGGTTAACGTTACGAACATTGCACTTCCTTATTGCAACTTCACGATATCTTTATGTTTTGGTGTCGTCACTCATACCTCAGTGTCTACTTTTTAATATTTACAGTTAGTTTTTATATTTGTTCATCCTCATTCTCGGATGGTATTTTTTATTTTACCTGCTGACAAGTGCGCTTGCTTCACTTCCCATATTTCTGCTGTTGTTGTTGTTGTTTATTGACATTATTAATTGATTGATACACACAGTCGGCGTACTAAAACGTATAATTGGGTATGAAATATTGTTTTGATCATGGCAGGATCATCGTCTTGTTTTGTTTCATCTTCTAACTGTGGGCAGCTGTGCGTGCCTCACCTGACCACAAGACTTGAGTCTTGATGTGTGTGTGTGTGTGTGTGTGTGTGTGTGTGTGTGTTGGCGGAGTCTGATTTGTGAGTCGGATCTGTTCAATGAATCGGTTGAACCAATTCATTGACTGACGGGGCTAAAAGGCAAAGTTCCTTTAAAAGCCGAATGTCAGAAATATTTTAGTAAACTAAAATGTGTTTTTGAAATGTTGCTATCACCTCGGGTAATTTTAGTATTACAATGAAAGTGAACATTATATTTAGGATTTTAATGACTTTTTTGTGATCTAAACTGAGACATATGAAATTGTATGAAACATTCCAAATAATACATTAGATTAAAAAACGTGATAAACCGCATTGTATATGGCTCTACTTATCAATTAAAATATTCTCCAACGAGATGTCAAGGGCCACGTGAATGACGTGAACAACCGTTAAACGCGTGAAACGAACTGTCCGAAAGAATCGATTCACTTGAGAGAGAAAAAATCGGACTTCCAGTCACTAATTTGTGAGAGAGAGCAGCCGCGCCTTTTGCGTGTCGGCACAAACAACCAGAGCTGTTGAAACAGGAAAGGTGACATTTTTGAGTAACCACAGGTGAAATCCTCCCCTTCCCAGGACTGTCTGTACCTGCATCGGCATGGACAGCCTAGCCCGGGCAGTTGGATCCAGTCCAGTCTCTCTCTCTCTCTCATTGTTTTGTGTGTGTCTGTGTCTGTGTGTGCTATGGAGTCCATGACCACAGCAGCGGCACCCAGGTCAAAGGGCAAGTTCCTCTTAACTCGCCGTCTTTACAGTCGAGTTAAATGTGCTCTGAGCAGGATCTGTGTCTGCAGCAAATTCATTGTGTATAAAAATGAAATCCTCCATAAAGATGTAGCCTACTTAAATATGGAGATTTGATTCACCCCAGGCGGCCCAGATGCTGATTTGCTTCTGTATAACTGAAATTCAGCAGCATTGCAGCCTTAAATGTTGCCTTTATCATTGCAGAGTAGTGTTCGCAATGTAATGAAGAGTTCAAAGTGCCATTTGAAATTTTCTTCTAAAATGCTCATTTTTATCAAGCTTATATATTTAAGTTCAGTAATTTCACTTAAATGGCAATGAAGATTACTTATTAATTGTCATTTAAGTGAAATTACTGAACTTAAATATGCAAGCTTGATAAAAATGGTCATTATAGAAGAAAATTTCAAATGGCATTTAGAGGCTTTTGCATCTGAACTCTTCATTTGTAATTCATTCATCAAATTTTATTTTATTTTATCCTATGCATTTGTAGCAATGGCTAATGCATGAAACGTTCAATTTAGGCACAGATATTCCTCAATTTAAATGCACTTTTTGTAAAAATATATGATCAATAAGTTGTTTGACTCAGAAATGAAAAAAAATCCCAGCAATTTTCAACTTATCTCAACTTAATTCATTTTTAATGTCATTTAATTTTAAATGACTTAGTTTATTGTACGTAAACATTTAAGGCAGCTTAATGTTTACACGCAGCTTCAGTGTAAACATGACATTAGACGCACTAAGGGACGAAAATAAGAAAGACACTTTGAAAATGAAGTAAAATAAAGTGTTTCTTTCTTCTGTTTGGCTTCAGCTTTTGACCTGGCTTGATTTACATACTGCATACGCTCATTGGCCCCGGTGGTTATGAGTGGTGTGAAAGACACCTTGTGTATGTCAGCAGACTTGTGAGCATGGCAGGACGACTACAGTGCAAAGAGCCTGATATATCAGCACGCACTAATGGGTGAATTGCTCAAGCGTGTCGGAGCTGCATCGCTCCACTTCCTGTCACAGCAGCCCTCGGTGGCAGAGACACAGGAAGTGGTCAGTATCTGTATCTGCTGACCAGACACAGCCTGCTGATGATGACAGTTTAGCAGTACGCCGTCGCCGACAAATGCAGAGAACTGAAAGTAGCACATTAGTAGAGAAACGAAGCTGTTGCAAAGCCGCTCAGTTGGGTCATTTCGAGATTTCAAGGGCTTGTTGCACTGTGCTTAACCCCTTGTTATCGTCGTTTTAAACCCCGCTTGTGTTTAGAAGTGGGATTGGCACCACCTTTTTACCCTGTGGTTAAGAAACTACCCTTTTAAAGGTTGTGTTGTTGACCCTGTATTGTGGTTGTGTGAAACGAGAATGTTACAGCAACCAATCGTGTACCACATGCTTTGGACAGTTACAGAAACACCCTGTTTTGTATTAAGGACAAATGGTGACTGAAAGCACACCAACTGGGATAAATAAGTGACCTTTTCACTACCTTTTTGTATCATTCAGTGATAGTACCATCCGAAACATATGGTATCAGGATGTAAAATGCGACAGCCTTTCTATGAACGTGTGTCTCTTTCGTCCAATCACTGACGTTGACACTGCGAATATGCAAATGAAAATAGGGGTTAGGAAGGGACAGTTTGAAATGTCATATTGTTATTAGTTTATAAATAACAAGCATACATCGTTGACACCATGTGACATGAAAGGGTTTCTTTAACCCAGGGTTATAGCACTAAACCCTGGCTGGATATTAAAGGAGTAGTTAAATTTTCAAAAAACGTTTGCTGATTAATTAATCCAAGATGTCCACGTCTTTCTTTCTTCAGTCGAAAAAAAAATTAAGGTTTTTGATAAACATTCCAGGATTTTTCTCCATATAATGGACTTCAATGGGAACCAAACGGTTCAAGATCTGCAAACTGTTCAAAGGGCTTTAAACGATTCCAGGCGATGAATAAGGGTCTTATCAAGCGAAACGATCGCTCATTTAATGAATAAATAACAAATTTTAAGTTTTATAAGCTCAAATGCTCGCCTTGCTCTGTTCTGTGATGAGCGTCCGTGACTCATTAAAATGAACAAATCTTTTTCTGAGTCAATTTGTCTGTTTTGTTCATTGAATGAACCAAATGACTTGGAAAAAGATTTGTTCATTTTGATCGAACAGGAGAGTCACAAACGTGTGTCACAGAACAGAGCAAGGCGAGCATTTGAGCTTCTAAAACTTAAACTTTGTTATTTATTCATTAAATGAGCGATCGTTTCGCTTGATAAGACCCTTATTCATCGCCTGGAATCGTTTAAAGCCCTTTGAAGCTGCACTGAAACTGTCTTTTGGATCTTGAACCGTTTGGTTCCCATTGAAGTCCATTATATGGAGAAAAATCCTGGAATGTTTTCATCAAAAACCTTAATCTCTTTTCGACTTCTTGACCATCTTGGATGACATGGGGTGAGTAGACATTTCAAAGAAAGACATTTCAGATGCTTTTTGAATAAAAAAAAAATCTTAAAAATGTATATATTATATATACATTTCCAGTGGCTGGTAAGAGTGACTGCGTTAGCTTGGTGGATCTTTAATGTCAAGCCCTACATTAAAGAGAGTTTTATGGTGTTCTGCTCACAGACGCTCCGGATCCCTCAGTCGTCCCTGTCGCCTCCTCGCCATCACCCGAGCGGATGCCTCCGCCTGAGGACGGAGGTCGTGACCTGCTGACATGTGGCCAGTGTGGTCAGGCGTTCCCGCTGGCACACATCCTCACCTTCATCCAGCACAAACAGGGCGGGTGTAGCGCAGCCAGAGCCCAACCCCAGGGCCACACCCCTCCCTCCCCGGCCAATCGCACGCAGGTGGAGGCGGGGTTTGTGGAGCTCCGCCGCGTGACGGGCAGGAGATGGAAGGAAGAGCCAGGTGCGAGGGTGGAGGCCAACCGAGCCGGTGAGTTTCTAGCTGCTAATTAGTGTCTTTTTTTTTTTTTTTTGTAAACTGTCCCCTCATTTAACAGCCTCGTCCCCAGTCCGGCTCATTAGGCCGCCGTTGCTGTGGCGCTGAGGCCTTGGTGAGTTGGAGAGTTAGAGACGCCGGGTCTAATTGTGTGGAAGGGATAGGTAGTTCTGCGACACACGCGATCAAACGTACACTTATACACACACCCTTGGGGACGCTGGAAAGACACCTGAGCACACCTGAGCATCTCCTTAGCTCTGTCTCTCAGGTGAAGTGGCCAGGTAAACACAGCACAGTCAGGCCAGCAAACTGCACAACTCCCACAGCGCAAAGCCCTCATTATTCCTGCGCTCAGTGCTGACCTGGCCTGTTATTCCCACTCTTCAAACGTGCTCTAAATATAAAGGTCCCAAAAGTTGCTGCGATTCCACAGTAAATAAAACATTTCGGGTTTCCGAAGTGCGTAGGCTAACACTTTACTTAAAAAAGACTGACGTGACACCTTCATAATCATGACATGACATGAAATGAAGGAAGTTTTATGCATGTTGGACAGCTGTCATTAAGTGTCATTCGCTCATTTTAATGCAAATATGACATTGTTTGAACATTAACCAATACATCATAAACCATTACATAGCAAACTTAGCTTTATTGGTTAACATTACTTTAAACTGTCAGGTGGTTGGTTTTGCCATTGGCTGTCATGAAGCCATTATAACTTTTTAATGACAATTTCAATTAGTACCACTGTAGTCGAGGTCACAAGAAATATTCATGACACAGTTATAATGGCCTCATGACAGCCTATGTCAAAGCCAACCACATGACAGATTAACTTCATTTAATGTCAAGGTGTCATAACAAAGACATCTCAAACAATGTCATATTTGCATTCAAAATGTCATTATTGAGCGAATGACACTTAATAAATATATGAGTGAATATATATACAAGTGATTCTTTCCCATGTTTGCAGTTTCTCAAAGCATCTCAACATCACAGTTAATGCAGTTTTCCATCAAAATAAAAGTTTTGAGGAATTTAAGACAGCCGAGCCGTAAATATTAGTTTTGTAGTTACTTTTTCTTATTTTATTTGAGTCGCGTATTACTGTAGAAATATTTCTTTAGTTTTTATTTAGTAATGTACATTTGTTTTAGCAATAATAATAATTATTATTATTTTATAGCCACAAAAGAAGCACAGAAATGTTATTATCAATCAGAATTTTCATTTTTTTTTTCCTTCAATCGTGCGCCTCTTTATCTGAAAAACCACTTGTGCAATGAAAAGTCTTCATGGTTCTTCATGGAAGCAAAGATGCCAATACACCTTTAAGACTGTAAAAAAAAAAAATTGGGTGAAACATTGAACACTTTCGACTGTTAAACAGGATGTCGGTGTGTGTGTGTGCGCTACTTGTGTGTGTCTCAGTGCAGTAGTGGGCCGTAGAGGGACTCGTCCGCCTGTGCAGGTGTTGGTGTTTCTCAGTATGATGCTATTGAACCGTGACCTGAATGCTGCCTCACATGGGCAGGACTCTTTCCCCCTCCAACACGAGCAAACCAAACATTTATTCGTTTATCAGACCGTCTATAGAGGCAAGCAAATGATCACGATTGATTGTGATTAACAAACGCACCCTTGCTTTCGGGTCACTCCCTCTAACACACATGTTTGCGCTTCCTTCCTTTTCATGCTCTGCATCCGTCCGTCCACGTTTCTTGATTCTCTGGGGTTGATTCCCTCTTGTGTTTTTGTGTGTGTGAAGGTGTGTGTTGCTGATAAAGGTGTCAGGGTGAGAGGTGCAAAATATGCTAATGTGCTACTTCCTCACCGTCAGCAGTCTTTGACTATCAGAGTCTATTATTAGTAGATTATCAGAGACCGTAGAATGAGATGAGGGTCTGAGAAAGACTGTCCCAAGCAGAAAACTTTTGCTTCAAAATGAGTATGTGATATACGAGTGATCATTTGTTTAAACTGACATGTCAGGGTTGCCAGGTCTGCATGACAAAAACATGCAGAAGAATATACTGCCATTCAAAAAAAAAAATAATAATAATATATATATATATTGCCGCATTTATAAAAACTATAATATTGTGACATATTTTTACACTTTAAAATAACTACTCTTTAATTTAAAAAAAAAAAATATTCCTGTGTTTGCACTCTAAAAAAAATGATGGGTTTTATTAACCCAATTTTGGGTCAAATATGGACAAACCCAGCCATTGGGTTACATTTTTAAATCACATTTTTAACCCAACATTTGAGTTTGTCCACATTTGACCCAAAATTGGGTTAAAACAACCCAGCATTTTTTAGAGTGTGCCCTTCTTATTATTATTCTTATTATCATTGTTCAAAATTGTTATTGAACAGCTTTTATTTGAATGTATTTTTTATTTTGTTGAAAAACGATGTAAAAATCTTTACTGTTACAGTGTTACTTTTGATCAACATGATGAATCCTTGCTGAAGATTACTGCAAATTGCTGAACTCAAACTTGAGCGGTGGTAAATGCCACTCCGTAACCAAACCGCTTGAACTATTTTCCATTTATTCGTATGTATGGGCATAACATACAATTTAGGTTATCTCATTAAAAATAACAAAATTACAAGTTTGTAGCCATAGAAGAAAGGTGAAGCCTGACAAATCCCATGTCATATTTATATGTGTTTTACATAGACTGTAAACAAAATATGGACGTAGTATCCGTGACGTCACCCGTAGGTTTCTGAAGAGCGTTTTTGAAGCCTAAATTGGGCGGGGCCGGCCGTCGCCATCTTGGCAGCGCGTCACCTCTCGACTCTCGTCACTACCGGATAAAATAAAATGGGCAAAGAGGCGGGTCTCCGATTCGGATTTAGGGCCAAAAAAAAAGTTATGTTGAATTTTGTCCTAAACCTACTTCTGCAAACTAGTCCCTGGTTTTTCGCCCGACGTAAACCAAACCATTTGTTTGGCCTATTCTCTGGACTGTCTAGATCAATAATTATTGAAAAAAAAAAAAAAAAAAAGTTGAAATTTTGCATTTGGTTGGCTATTTATAATGTGGTCCCTGGCAAAATACACCCAAAAGCCAATGAAATCGCTTCATGTTTCAAAGTTTCATAGAGATTGGACCATAGGTGGCGCTAAAACCGTCAAAAAGATCTCATTCTCATTAGTTGTTCAGTTCACGCACGAAACTATGCTAAATCATGCTAGATTCATGGTAAATCATACTGGAACATGGTAAATAATGAAAATCACATTGTAATGGTGTAAAACATGGTCTGTACATAAACCTTAAAACTGTCTTGTGACGCTTTTTTAGCTTAAAGTCCTTAAAGCTACACTGTGTGATTTTTACCCCCATCTAGTGGTGAAAATGTATATGACCATCCAGTGAATATTAGTTTCTGTTCCTCTCGATTCCGATTTGGTTTTAACTCCTACGGTGGCCAATGTAGTCCAAGATTAACTTCCAGTTCGACCTCGTCCATGAGTGTTCACTCAAACGTAAACGCGAAAGGCGAAGCTTGAATTAACGGGTATGTCCCTCTTTGGCTAATGTACATTCAAGATGGAGGCGACCAACATTAGATCCCCCTTACCCGTATGTATTTTCAATGGCATATTATACACTCACGAGAACACTTTATTACTTGAACGAAGTAAATATACATTAATGAGCACATATACTGTATTTTTGAAAGAACTAAGTGTTTTTAGCTAAAAATAAACTAAAAGAGTTACATAGTGTAGCTTTAAAGGCCTGAACTGCTTGAACACCACTAAACGCTGCTTGCAGCTTTAATAAATATTTGTATCCGTTATAAATGTTTTTACTAAATGAATCTAAATCTTGAAAGAGTTTAAAAGTAACTCAATTCTTGGCAACTCTTGAACCCCAGAAGGATACATTGTCGTTCTGCTTGGATGAGGGCGTTTTGTATGCACGTTGTATTTTCTGCTTTCATTTTGACTCATCCAATGAAAAATCAGTTAACCCACCAACCATCAGACGTGTGTGTGTGTGGGTGTGTGTGTGTAAAAGAGTGACATAGAGAGATGTTGGAGTGGAATGGATTATTGAATTAGTTTAGACAATGTATCAATAGTCTTATTTTTATTTCCTCCAGCTCTCTCTTTGCTCTTCATTTCAACTGTCCCTTTATTCTCTCTCTCTCTCTGTTCCCTAGAGAGAGAAGATTCTGCCTGCTGCTCGTTAGCGCTCTCAGCCAATCTGCATTTTTAATTAGCGGTTATTGCTTCTGCTTAATATGCAATTGCTACCCTGGGCCAAATGGGAATCCTTACAAAAAGAGTGAGGGGAAGAATGAAAGAGAGAGAGAGAGAGAGAGACAGGCTGGGTATTGTGTTTCACTCCAAGACCCCGAGACAAAAGCCCCTGCCTCCACCCGTCCACCCGAGGGAGAGATTTTGGAGGCAGAAGGGGTGTGTGTGGGGTGAAGGTGTAGTCACAGGGGCGATGATTTTTCGGTGTTTTTCATGACCTGTGCAGCTATTCCTTTTTTGTTCTTAAATGAAACACGTTTCCTCCGTCTGTTTTAACCTTGCTTCTTGACTCGAGGCACAGAGAAAAGAAGAGGCTCTTCTTAATCTTCTTCTTTTGCCCCCTCCCGATATAATGCAGAAGGATTTTGACTTGAGGAGATTATAGCACTCTGCTTTGAACCCTTTGTAAGAGAACGGGGGAAAAAATGAAATGAATTTTCCTCTCAGTTTTGGGATCCTCTTTGCAGACGGGCCCCATTTATCAAGGAGGCTGAGTCAGGACTCATTTGCATAAAACCTTCGTTTGCTCCGTTCCGCTAATTAGCAATTTGCAGCTTAATTGGCGCGCGGCTCTCTGAAATAGAGACAAAGCTAACCATGTTTAAAAATACCACCAGAGCTGCTGAAGGAGCCCGTCCGTGGCCGTCCTCTCCTGTGAGCACACCTTTAATCAGGCAAGCTTTCTGACATTCCCAGCTCATTATTGCTCCGACACCTGCAGGGGTTTGTGACATGCAGCTTTTCTAATGAACAGAAAATTAGCAAAACGAGGAAAAACGAGGAAAACGTGTTCTCTTGAGGTGATGCAGTGAAACAGGAGGATGAGTTTTCACTCCAGAAGGAAATGTTTTTTTTTATATATATATATATATATATATACGTTCACTGTAAGAAGATATTGTTGGTTTAACTTAAATTAAGTAACCTGGTTGCCTTAATTTTAAGTTCATTGAAATAGAAAAATTGAGTTAATACAATGAAGGAGATTGATTTAATCAGCAGAAACTCAAAATATTGAACCAAATCTGAACCAAATAAATTATTTAAGTTGATTTGACGATTTGAAGAAAAAATTTTGTGATTGCAAATCATGAACATATTGTTTTTACAGTGTTGTGACAATATTTTCATGAAAGGAATGTTTTTCCCAAGTTTACATTACTGTTACATCCCCATATATATATATATAATTATTTACTTTTTAATTATTTAATTTTTATTTATTTAATTCTTATTTATTTCATTTTTGACAGAAAAACAAATGCATCGATTATGTATAAATGCAATTTAAATAATATATGATATAACTTAATATTCCATATTTTCATGAAAGGAGTGTTTTTCCCAAGTTTCCATTACTGTTACATCCCCATATATATATATATATATATATATATATATATATGGGGATGTAACAGTAATAATAAATATGAATTTAAAAAATAATAAGAAGATTTAAAAAATAAATAAATAAATAGTAAATAATTAAATATATATATATATATATATATATATATACTATTTATTTATTTATTTATTTAATTTTTATTTATTTATTTAATTCTTATTTATTTCATTATTTAATTTTTATTTATTTAATTTTTGACAGAAAAAAAAAAGCATCCATTATGTATAAATGCAATTTAAATAATATATGATATAATTTAATATTCCACTTTACCATAATATTACTGCAATGACAACTTGGAAGGAATGGCATGAAAAATATCACAATGCAAAAAACAAAAAAACAAAATAGGCTTCACTTTAGTTGAGAAAAATTTCTGCATTTGGATTTTGGGGTTCAATATGATCTTGTCCTGCACAGGAATATCTGCCAAAATGTCAGTATACAGCAGGTATATAACATCAACGTTGATGATGTTTTTACACAAAATCTGATATAAACTAAACCAAATAATCTCTTAAATCAAGGCATGCAATGTTTTTAGGTCATGTGATAGCATTGTAGCTGATTGAAACATTTATTGTTGCATATTTTTTTAATATTGGGCCCTGTGTAATATGCCATAAGTATAGTATGTTAGCATTATTTTCTAAACATAGCCATGGACCTGCCCTGTTTTCTCAAGTATTTGTGGTTTTACCTGTTTTGTTCTGTTTTCTGTAAATGACCAAGTTCGCCTGCAGCCTTTCCTTTCTGCTGTTTCATTTTCAGTGCGTCATGAATGATACACATCTTTCCATTTCACTCAGCATTATTACTCAGATATGTACAGCATGTTTAGTATAGACATTCACACAACCTAGAAATGCAGATTCAGTTAATGGTCCTCATCAGTTGGCCACCGCATGGCTAGGGATATACAGTATGCATGTTATGGGCCATTTATTGATTCCAGTACTAAATCAAGGTGGTAATCGTTGTTATTTTAGAAAATAGACGTGACCAGGTTGTAAATATGAGATCCCGAATTAGACATTGAATACGCACTTATTCGTATTTATTGAAAGGGGAAGAGAATTTCATTTGTAAAAAATATTTCAATAGAATGTCCTTTTATAAATTATATTAGACAACATTTTTATTCAGAAAATGTATTAACTGACTTTTTGGTAGCACTTTACAATAAGGTTAATTAGTTAACTACCTTAGTTAACATGAACGAAGAATGAACAATACTTCTTACAGCATTTATTAATCTTAGTTAATATCACAGAAGTAGTTAACTTTTAAAAAATACTTTTGCTGATAATTTACTCACCCGCATGTCATCCAAGATGTCCATGTCTTTCTTTCCTCAGTCGAAAAGAAATAAAGGTTTTTGATGAAAACATTCCAGGATTTTTCTCCATATAATGGACTTCAATGGGAACCAAACGGTTCAATTTCCAAAAAACAGTTTCAGTGCAAACTGCAAACTGTTCAAAGGGCTTTAAACGACACCAGACAATGAATAAGGGTCTTATCAAGGACCGTTCGAGTCATGACTCGAAAAAAGATTTGTTCATTTTGATAAACGAGTTCGAACAGGAGAGTCACGAACGCTCATCACAGAACAGAGCAAGGCGAGCATTTGAGCTTATAAAACTTAAACGTTGTTATTTATTTATTAAATGAGCGATTGTTTCACTAGATAAGACCCTTATTCATCATCTGGTGTCGTTTAAAGCTGCACTGAATCTCTCATTTGGACCTTGAACCGTTTGGTTCCCATTGAAGTCCATTATATGGAGAAAATCCTGGAATGTTTTCATCAAAAACCTTCATTTCTTTTCGACTGAAGAAAGAAAGACGTGGACATCTTGAATGACATGGGGGTGAGTAAATTATCAGCAAAAGTTTTTTTTAAAAGTGAACTGCTCCTTTAATTCCAAGATTTACTTATACATTATTAAAATCAAAAGTTGTTTGTTAACATTAGTTGATGCACCGTGAACTAACACGAACAAACGATGAACAGCTGCATTTTTATTAACTAACACTAACAAAGATTAATAAATACAAATGGTTTGTAAAGTGGTACTGACTTTTTTTTTTCTTTTCTTTTTTTAAAGGTTTTTCCTGAAATAATGTTAGAATTTTTGACAGATTAAATTGAAAGATTTTATGTAAATGTTATTATTACTGTTGTTCCTATTTGCATACATGTTTGATTTTGTATATTGATTGTTTTATAGTATAAGAAAAAATGGTTAAATTATTGTAAACAATGCATTGAATTGATTGCAATCATAATTATTTTAAAATTGAAATCCTGTTGATTGCCATGAATAAAGCCATAAAATCATAAATAAATAAATATGGACCATTTATTTAGTCAAACAAGTTTGTTTTTCTCTCCTGAATGTACTGCCATTTGTTAGGGTGTTTTTGAATGATTTTACACTCTTAGAAGAAACGGTTCTATTTAGAACCAGAAATGGTTCCATCCCCCGCTTCATATATGGAACTCCAAAATGTTTTTTTTAGAACCCAGAGGAACCCTTTTTTCAAGAGTGTATAGAACCTTTTAGGGGTTCCAAATACGTAGCGTTGATAGAACCTTTTAAAGTTCTATATAGAACCTTTTCTTCTAAGAGTGTCGGTGTTTGTTTGACTGATAAATTAATTCTCTCTCCCTCTCTTCCTTTCCGAAACAGAAGAGCCCTCCAGTTTCACCTGCCAGGTGTGTCAGTGTGTGTTCTCCGGCGCGTGGACTCTCCTCCAGCACGCTCAGAACGCTCATTCTCTCAGCATCTACCAGGTGGAGGACGACAGCGCCGCGCACGCATCGAAACCGCCGGCCACGATGGATCCGCGACACCTGGGCGCCGCCCTTGCCTCCGCGTTCCAGCCGTCCTCCGCGAGATCCGCTCGCTCTCACAAACCTCACGTCTCCACCCCTGCGCCGCGGGATCTCCAGAGCCTGAACTTCTCCATGTGTTTACAGCGCCTGGCGGAGGTGAGCTGCAACAGCGGCGGAGTGGTGCCGTCCCCATCCCCGTCTCCTCCAGCCGCGTCACCGTTCCCCCTGTCCTCCCCCCCACTTCACGCAGGCTTCTCCTGCCAGCTGTGTGGCCAGGGCTTTCAGTCTCTGCGTAGCCTGTCCGCGCACCGGCGCACTCACGCCTGCGATAGACCCTATCACTGCGGCGTGTGTCAGCTCACGTTCTCTCAGAGCGGCGAACTCGCGCGACACATGAGAAGCCACCGGCGGTCTGCAGCCGGACCGGAAACGTCCGATCCCAGCCCTGCCAGTGCGGCGGACGAGGACCGAAAGCTTCCCGGACTGGGAGATAACGATATCTCCGCCAGCTTGGAGGCTGGGAAGCATCCAGGAGGAGCCAGCCTGATCTTGATCTCGTCTCAGTCCAGGGGCGCGGATCGCAACCTGCTGCGGTACTACCAGCCTCTGAGGGAAGCTGAAGAAGAGGGTCAAGGGGAGCCTCAACAGGCTTCTCCCTACGGCAGCCCCTCGGAGGGCTCTCTGGAGAGCGGAGATACGGGCGGAAGCGGAGAGAGCGGGATCGCCAGCGGGAACTGCACGCCGAAGCGCCCGGAACGGGAGGATCGTCCTCAAGGCGAATGGGAGCAAGAGGTGGAGGCCGCGGAGATCGTCACGGACTGGCAGCGGGACAACGACAGGAGGCAGGTCACCAAGAAGAAAAAGGAGGAGGCGTGCGAATTCTGCGGAAAGTGTTTCCGCAACAGCAGCAACCTCACGGTTCACCGGCGCAGCCACACGGGGGAGAGGCCCTACCGATGCGGACTCTGTAGCTACGCCTGCGCGCAGAGCAGCAAACTCACACGCCACATGAAAACGCACGGCGCCCGCGGGACACGCGCACCCTTTCAGTGTCAGCTCTGCTCGGTCCCGTTCACCGTCTACGCCACGCTGGAGAAACACCTCAAGAAGGTCCACGGACTCACTCACGCCAGCGCTGGAGCCTACAGCCAGGGCTCGCTTCCCGATTACATCAAAATGGAGGATGATAAATCCGCAGCTCCGATCACAATGCTCGCGGAGTCTAATGTGGACCTGAAAGAGGAGGACGCTGAAATGAGGGTGAGTGCCGACGTGCCCCCTTCCGCTGAAGAAACTGCGGCTCTGTGTGAAACCGCAGTATAAAAACAGCAACATGACACTCTGATAATGACCAAAACCACCATCGTCTGCCCACAACTCAGTACGTCCATCTTATCGAAAAACCAAGACGACCGTACCCGCCTTCACCTCAAGTCACTCTAGGGAGGGCAAGCTGGTACTGATCGAGACTTGATAGATTCTCATATCAAGTGCCTACTGTGAAGAAATCCTGACTTCTTAGTCCCAGCCACCGTCGTAGAAGGCACTTCGAACCCTGAACGCAAACGTTCGACTACTCGGAGTATACGGAGATGGTTGCAAACCATTTGAGCCTTTAGTTGAGCCCAGAAGACAATCAGACAGGAAGGCCTGCTTGTGATTTTGAATTCTGCAATGCAAGGACCCTACCATTAGCCTTAAAGGTTCATGGATCATAAAAAAAAGAGAGAATGGATGTCCAATCGTGATGTCCTGCAGAGTTTGGCTCCAAGCTTATTAATTAACACACCTGAAACGGCTCGTCAAAGTTTTCAGGACTTTTGCTAAAAAGTTGGAGCTAATCTCTGATGGGATTGGATTGGACACCCGTGGTCTACATCAAGACTTGCACGGATGCATTTGTTTTTTTTTTTTGATGCTGTATATTAAACAGGACTGATTGGGTCTGTGGCAATACATGTTAAAGAGCATTTGTTTGCCATTTAGTTCATTTAGAATGTGTAAATGTATATTTTGCAACTTTTTGTTTTGTTTTTTCTACTGCACAACAAATTAATTTTCGGTGTATTTTGTGAGCCTGTTTAGTCCATTTGCCCGAGCACATAGGAATACTATGAAAAGTTGTTAATTTTTTTTTTTTTTGTCAATTGTGTTTTGTGGAATGAAAAGCTTTGGTTTCTGACGAAACACTGGATAGGGAACAGCGCTGTTGAATGGTGAACCCACTGCGAGAGCACTTGTGTTTGTTTGTGTATATGTGAGAGAGTTAGAGACCAGATATATGATAAATCTATACAGGGAAAGTCTGCTTTGTTACAGTTTTTTTTTTTTAAATGATTATCAATGTCAGGGATCTGTTATGTTACACTTTTGTTGTTTGCGTGGTAACAAATATGGTAGAATAAGTCATTTAAAGGAGTAGTTCACTTTTAAAAAACTTTTGCTGATAATTTACTCACCCCCATGTCATCCAAGATGTCCACATCTTTCTTTCTTCAGTCGAAAAGAAATGAAGGTTTTTGATGAAAACATTCCAGCATTTTCTCCATATAATGGACTTCAATGGGAACCAAACGGTTCAAGGTCCAAATGAGAGTTTCAGTGCAGCTTTAAACGACACCAGACGATGAATAAGAGTCTTATCAAGCGAAACGATCACTCATTTAAAAAAAAAAAAAAAGTTTAAGTTTTATAAGCTCAAATGCTCGCCTTGCTCTGTTCTGTGATGCGCGTTCGTGACTCTCCTGTTCGAACTCGTTCATCAAAATGAACGAATCTTCAATTCATTTGTTGAATGAGCCATATGACACGAAAAAAGATTCGTTCATTTTGATGAACGAGTTCGAACAGGAGAGTCACGAACGTGCATCACAGAACAGAGCGAGGCGAGCATTTGAGCTTATAAAACTTAAACTTTGTTTTTTTTTTTTTTTTAAATGAGCGATCGTTTCGCTTAATAAGACCCTTATTCATCGTCTGGTGTCGTTTAAAGACCTTTGAACAGTTTGCAGTTTGCACTGAAACTCTCATTTGGACCTTGAACCGTTTGGTTCCCATTGAAGTCCATTATATGGAGGAAATTCTGGAATGTGGTCATCAAAAACCTCAATTTCTTTTCGACTGAAGTAAGAATGACATGGACATCTTGGCTGACAAGGGGGTGAGTAAACTATCCGGCAAAATTTTTTGAGAAGTGAACTACTCCTTTTAAATAAGCAATGGTTTTGTATTAATAAGCAAATGTGAAAACAGTTGGACATCCAGTTGTGTCCGTTTCTTCAGGGAGCAGCGAAAAACAAAGCTCTTTTTGTCCTCTGAATATTGTTCTAATAATTTCTGTTGATTGAAATGTCACGTCTTACATGTGATTTCTCCCGGAAATCCCTGTGTAGCCCACCAACTTTGTGTATTTTGTATTTCTATGGCTATTTCTATGATAATTAAAAGACTGAGGCAAAGTCAGAGGGTGTGTGTGTGTTTGAGTATGTGAGAACCAGAAAGTGTGACGGCAAGTCTAACCTGTCGCTACATGTCTCGGATCACATCACGAATTCAGCAGTATTTGCACAGATGAGCCTATCGTTGTTGAGTCATAGTCCGTTAGTAGTACAGTCATATCTGACTAAACCACTGGGTCACTCAGGTTGGCCTTCAAGTAACAGGGTTTGATGGAAAACACCAGATTGTCAGGTCGATTACTCGTCTAAGAAAGTGCGAAAACACAAAGCCGGGAAGGAGATCTGGGATTGAAATGGGTGGGGGAGCGGAGTCATCTTAACAGCGCTTTTT